ACTCAATTTATAGTAACGAGAACATCATTGGATTTTGACCATGGAAAAAGAAAACACCTCTGAGTGGGGAGAAACTGTACACATGTTCTGTTTGTGGTCGAGGCTTCAGCCAATCTTCTGGCCTGTCTAAACACAAGTGCAGTCACAGCAGGAAGAAGCTGTGTAAATGTGGGGACTGTGGGGAGGGCATTTAATTTCCCCTGTGAGCTGGAAACTCATTAGCACTGTTACACTGGGGAGACGTTGTTCCTGTGCTCTGTGTGTGAGAAGGGCTTCACTCAGTCAGCGCACTTGCTGCAAAACCAGCGAGTTCACAGTGGGGAGAAGCCGTTCACTGCTCTGTTTGTGAGAAGGGCTTTACTGATTTGTCCAACCTGCTGAGACACAAGCAGGTTCATACTAATGAGAGACCTTTTAAATGTGCAAACACTGGGAAGTGCTGTAAAAGTTCCAGGGAACTGACACGCCATCAAAGTGCTCATACAGATGAGAGACCATTCAAGTGCTCTCACTGTGAGACTGGGTTTAAGCATTCATCTGAACTCGCTCTACATCAATGCACTCACACTGGAGAGAAGCCATTCATCTGCTCTGTGTGTCAGAAGAAGTTCACACAATTATCTCATCTTCAGTCACACCAGCGAGTTTACACTGGGGAGATACCATATGCCTGCTCCAAGTGTGAGAAGAAATTTGCTCATTCATCCCATCTGGTGAGACACCAGCGATGTCACAAGTAGTTCTGGTGTTGGGATTTTCCTGTTAATCACATCCAGAACTGACCCATGTATATCAGGCTCTATTTCTGCTGATGTTAATAAAATCCAACCAAGTTAAAGGTGCTAGCATTCTGGGTGTCAAATAAATCAGATATGTATCAATTGTACAGTGTGGTGAGTCTTTTTAATATCGAACACCAGTTTGTTATTTTTGAAAGGCTCTCCCTCTCTCCTGCCTCCTCCATCCTCACCTCCAACAATAAGTACAAGGAACACAAGCTTCTTTGTCACTAAGATTGAGACAATCTGATCAGCTCCCTGTCCTGTTTCCCTCTCTCTCATTCGCTCACTGGGACAAACTGCCTCAAAAGTTGTTCCATGTCTGAGCCCTGGGCATGTATGTGTCTTCACTCTCCCCCCATTTCCTATCATGATATGTGAGAGCTCACCTTGTCCAAGACACTCACTTCCTGCTCCAATGGCCCTATTCCCATGAAATGTCTGACCAGTGAACATCTCTATTTGCTGCATTTGTTAATGGTTGTCTTGCAGGTTTTGTTCCCTTTTACTTTAAACCTGCTATATTCATGATCCAACCCCACCATCCCTGCAAGTTACTGTCTTATTTTGAACCTGCCCTTCCCATCCAAAGTCCTGGAATGAATTGTTTCCTCCCAAATCCATGCCATATCTCCCAGCAGGCAATGTTTTAATACCCCAGACAGATTTCTGTCCCTGGCAAATTCAGGAAAATCTGCGCTTGTGGTCACATTCACCGTTTGATGGAGCAACATGCATTTGTGTGGAAAATTGGCACGTTGCTTCAAGTTTGATGTATAAATAATGACAAAACTTTTCACAATAATGGAAATCGAGTGAGTTGGAATGTTTGCTCATGCCTGATAATATCCTTCAGGAGAACATCTATTTCACATTAGATGCAGCAGCTTTCTGCCAATTGTAGGGGCATCCACCATGTATTAAAAACACTGCCATCCACAAGGTGTTGGAGCAGGAGTAGGCCATTCAATGAGATCATGGCAGATCTGATAACCCACTGTGCTGCCATTTCCCACAATCTTTAATTTCTCTACCGATTAAAAAGAATAATCTGCCTGTCTAAATCTAGTGAGCACAGGTCCTTGAGAGAATGAACTGGGAAAATAATAATGGGGAACCAGGAAATGGCAGAAGTGTTCAATAAATACACTACACCAGTCTTCACAGTAGAAGCCGCTTGTAGCTTTTCAAAATTGTTTAAAAGCGAAAAGGCAAGTAAAAGAATAGGAAATAAATGCAATGAATATCATTGGAGATGAAATGTTAGGAAATCTATTGGAGCTAAAGACCAATTAAAGGCTGGATCTGGTTGGTTACATCGTAGGATATGAAAGGAGCTAGCTGCAGAGATCGTGGATGCACTGGTAGTCATTTTACAAGAATCTTTAGAGTTTGGAAGAGTCCCAGGGGGTTAGAAAACTGCCAGCTTAGTACCTCTATATGGGAAAAAAAAGTTAACTGTAGACTATTTAGCTTAACATCCGTTACTGGATACAGCTTAGAGTCTATTATAATAAAAGGTGTAACAGCAGAACCAAGGATAGATCCTTGAGGGACAACCAAGTTCAGGGAATTTCGAGAGGAACATAAGAAATAGGAGCAGGAGTAAGCCATCTGGTCTGTCCAGCCTGCTCTGCCATTCGATAAGATCATGGCTGATCTTTCCATGGATTCAGCTCCACTTAACTGCCCACTCACCATAACCTTCATTTCCTTTACGGTTCGAAAATCTTTGCCTTAAAATCTGACGTAGTCTCAAATTCTTCACTGGGCAGGAAATTCCACAGATTCACAATCCTTTGGGAGAAGTTCCTTCTCAACTCAATCCTAAATGTGCTCCCCCTTAGTTGAGGTAATGCCCCCTAGTTCTAGTTCCACCCACCCAACATCCCTGCTTCTATCTTATCTATTCCTTTCATAATTGTATGAGTTCCCCTATCATTTTTCTAAATTTGAATGAATATAGTCCCAGTCTACTCAATCTCTCCTCATCAGCCATCTCAATTTTGGAATGCACCTAGTGAAACTCCTCTGTATGCCCTCCAGTGCCAGTGTATCCTTTCTCAAGTCAGAGGACCAAAAATGTACACAGTACTGTAGGTATGGCCTCACCAGCACGGTATCCAGCTGCAGTATAACCTCCCTATTTTTAAACTCCATCCCTTTACCAATGAAGGACACTATTCCATTTGCCTTCTTAATTAACTGCATCTGCAAACTAACTTTTTTTATTCGTCACCCAGGTCCCTCTCCACAGCAGTACGCAGCAATATTTAACAATTTAAATTGTAGTCAATTTTGCTGTTATTCCGACCAAAATGGATAACCTCAATATTGTACTCCATCTGCCAGACCCTTACCCATTCTCTGAACCTATCTATATCCCTGTGTAGACATTCAGTGTCCTCTGCACACTTCACTCTACCACTTATCTTTGTGAACTTTGACACACTACACTTGGTCCCCAACTCTTAATCATCAATGAAAGAGAGAGTGGAGATTGACAGTTTGCAAAGATGGTAGGATGAAGTGTCAGTCTTTCCCAAGAAGGTTGATGATGGCGGAATTATCAGTGAGAGGGACAGACCCAGGAGAAAGAGAATTGTTAACAATATGCATCACATGGATCAGCAGTTTAGTGGGAACATGGTAGAGGGACTAGGAGCTGTGTCTCATGAACAGGAGCTCTCTCAGGTTAAACTCATCACCAGTCATTGCTCTGTCGCTCTGTCTCTCTCTCTCTCTAGTGAGAGCACAGCCCTATGGTTCTCTGGGACTGTGGCAACTACTGCTTCAGGGGAGATACAACGCACTGCAAAAGGGACCAAATTTTATTTGAACTATTACCAAAAGACCACAAGGTATACGATCAGAATTAGACCATTCAGTCCATCAAATTTGTTCTGCCATTTAATCATGGCTGATGTGTTTCTCAAAACCATTCTCCTGCCTTCTCCCCATAACCCTTCATCCCCTCACTAATCAAGAAAACATCCATTGCTGTCTGAAATACGCTGAACGACTCGGCCTGCACAGCTCTCTGTGTCAATTAACTCTGCAGATTCACCACCCTCTGTCTGAAGAAATTCCTCCTTTTCTCAGTTCTAAAGTGTCATTCCTTCACTCTGAGGCGGTGCCCCCGAGTCCTGGTCTCTTCTATAGTGGAAACATCTTCTCCATGTCTACTAGATCCACGTCCCTCAGTATTCTGTAAGTTTCATTCAGATTCCCATCCCCCACCCCATCCTTCTAAACTCTATCAAGAACAGAGAGTCCTCAACCAATCCTCTTATGACAAGTCCTTCATCCATGTAATTATTCTTCTGGACCACCTCTGGACACCGTCCAACACCAGCATGTCTTTTCTCAGATACTGGGCCTAAAACTGCTCAAAAATTACAAATGCAATATGACCAGAGCCTTGTTTAGACTCAATAGTGCATCTCTGCTCCTGTTTTCCAGCTCTCTTGAAATGAATGCCTACATTGCATTTGCCTTCCTAACCACCAACTGAACCTGCACTTTAACCCTAAGAGAATCCTGAACTAGAACTCTCAAGTCCCTTTGTGATTCAGATTTCTAAAGCCTTTCCCCATTTCGAATATAGTCTATGCCTCTAGCTTTCTGATCAAAATGTATAACTTCACATTTTCCCTCATTGTATTCCACCTGCCACTTCTTTGTCCACTCTCCTAGCCTGTCCAAGTCACTCTGCAATCATCCTGCTTCCTGAATGTGACCTGTCCCTCCACCTATCATCGTGTCATCTGCAAACCTAGCAACAATGTCCTCAATTCCTTTGTCCAGATTGTTAATGAATAATGTGAATAATTGTGGTCCCAACACTGACCCCTGCTGAATGCCACTAGTCACTGGCTGCCATCCTGAAAAAGAGCCCTGTCAGTCAACCAATCCTCAAGATTTGTCAGTGTCTTGGCCCCGAAATCACGGGCTCTTATCTTATTTAGCAGCTTCCCATGTGGCATCTTGTCAAATGTCATGTGGAAGTCCAAACAGATCACTTCCACTAGCTCTCCTTTATGTAACTTGCTCAGCACCTCCTCAAGGACTTCTAAGATTTGTCAGGTATGACTTCCCATTGATGAAGCCGTGCTGACTCTACCAAGTACTCCATGATCACATCCTTACAATGACCTGCCACACTGTTTTTGACATAAAGCTGATTGACGTGAGTTTTATCCAAAATGTTAAAACTTTACCTTCTGTCCTGAATGTGATGAACTGCAAAATCCAATCGCTGTTGAGATGTGTGAACTCTGTGTTTTTTTCACAGTCTGGGCATTTAAAAGGTCTCTCATTAATGTGAGGTAATTGATGGGATGACATCTCCCTGGAAGTTTTAAAGCATTTTCCACAGTCTGGGCATTTAAAAGGTCTGTCTGCAGAATGAACACATTGATGGCATAGCAGTCCCGGAACTTTAACAGCACCTTCCGCAGTCCAGGCATTGAAATGATCTCTCCTCAGTGTGAACGAGCTGGTGTTGCAGCAGGTCAAATGACTGAGTGAGTCTCTTCCCACACACTGAGCAGGTGAATGGCCTGTTACTGGCGTGACAGCGTCGATGAGTTTCCAGCTCAGGTGGGGAAATGAATTCCTCCTCACAATCGCCACATTTTCACTGTTTCTCCCAAGTGTGACTGCATTTGTGGTTTGTGAAGCCTGATAATTGGCTGAAGCCTTGTCCACACACACAAAATATGTACGTTCCTCTCCAGGGCTGTTTCCTTCCATGTTCAAAATCGGATCACGTTCCAGTTGTGATAAAACAGGCAACTCCATCAGATCATGTTGTAATGGTTGGGTTTGTGAATCTTCCCCTTCTAATATCCTGTGAAATTGATGTTAAACAAACAACAATAGAGTGAGAGAGAATCTCTCACAAGACTCTGGCTTCTATGTGAAGGAAGGGACTGAAGGAGGAGGATTTTCAACACACACAACTTGACCATAACCTTATCAGAATCTTCCAAACACAGCCTCCAACACCGAAAAGCAGCAGGGTAGCAGGGAATGTGAACACCATCACCACCAAATTCCCTCCGGGTCACGCACCATCCTGACTTGTCTGACATCTGGCCCTGGTGGAGCAGAAATTCCTACAATTAAATAATGGCAAAACTGAAGTCTTTGTCTTCAGTCCCCAACACAAACTCCACTGCCTCACGACTGACTCCATCCCTCTCCCTGACAACTATCTGAGTCTGAACCAAACACATCGTAACCATGGTGAAATACTTCACACACCAAGATGACTTTTCAACCACACATACCCACTGTCACAAAGACTGCCCACTTCCACCCCAGTAACATCACCTGGCTCTTCTCAGTCTCTGCTCATCTGCTGCTGAATGTCTCATCCATTCCTTTGTTCCCTCTGGACTTAACTATCCTAACACATTCCCCACCGTCCTCTCACATTCCCCTCCCTGCACTTGTCTAACTTCCTCTGCCGCTATTAATGGATGTACTTGAGCTCTATTTAGTGTTTTATTCTTCCTTCCATTCACTGTATCCCAATGAGATTTTTACCACTGCCCATTTTCCCAAGCATGTGCTGCTGCCTTAGCAGCTTTATCTTCCCACACAAGCTCCCACAATGCTGTCAGGGAAGGAGTTACAGGTTATTCACCCAGTGATGTAATCCTGAGGTCATCCAAAACTCTGCTGCCTGTTTGAGTATTTGCATCAAGTCTGCTTCACCCAACACCTTGTGCTTCTGCAGCTAAACTTTAAGCTTTTCATTCTTCTATTCAATCTCTTGATAGTGTCCTTTTTCTCTTTCTCTGTAATGTCCTCCAGCCCTCTCAAAGGCAATTACAGATGGCCAATAAATGCTAACCGAGCCAGCGAAGCCCACATCCCAAGAATGAATTTTAACAAATGCCCTCCAAGATATCTGCATTACCTCTAATTCCAACCTCCTGAGCATTCTCAATTTTAACTGTTCCACATTTGGTGCCCTCAACCAGGCCATAAAGTGT